CCCAGGTCAAATCTGCCCCACTCCCTGCTCCGTCACAACCCACATCACATCACATCACATGGTGGGGGGGGGGGAGCCTCCCTGGGGCCCAGGAGAGTGAGGCAGATCCCCCCCCCAGCCCCATGGCCAGGAGTCACTCACCTCTGCATGGTCCACCACCATCACCAGCTCCACGAAGGGCTGCTCTGGGGCTGCCTCCCGCTTCCCCTGGGGAGAAGAGCGAGCCAGTGAGTGGGGAGCAGGGCACTCAGCGACCACATGGACACGAGAGCCAGAACTGGGGGTCCCATGGGCCGGGGAGGGCAGGCAGCAGTGGCCCAGGCAACAGCTCCCCCCATCTCAGAGACGAATGAGACTTGGGGGGGGCTGTGGCCCCAGACACCCCCAATTCCCCTCCCCCACCTACCCTGCGCGGCTCCAGGTCCAGCAGCGGGTGCGTGTGGTTGGGAGGGCCCAGCCCACACTCCCTGTGTCCCAGCCGCATATCCCGGGGCCTGTAGGCCAGGTGCCTCCCGCGGGGCCCCTGGGGGTCCGGCTCCAGGCCGTAGCTCCTGTTCTCCGAGGCCACGAGGATGCCGCTAGGAGAGGAGGGGGAGACGGGGCGTTAGCTGGGCGGCAGGGACGGGCAAGGCAGGTCACAAGAGAGGCAGGGATCAGGGGCTCAGCCAAACCGCAGCCCCTGCTGGGCTAAGATCACTGGGGCTGCAGGTCGGGACTGAGGGGCACCCAGAACGGCTCCTCTTTAAAACCCACAGAGCTGCCCCCCCGCCTCTTTCCATTGGCCAGGGCACCCCCCACCCATTGCCCCTGCGCGCCCCCCCCCCATCATCTCCGATTTCAGCCCCCAGTCTGGAGCTGCAGAGCTCTCCCCCACCTGAGTCCGGAGCAGGCGCAGACGCTGGCCCAGGAACCTGGATACTCCCGGACATGGCCCCGATAGCAGCAGTTTCCCTGCAGCGGAGAGAAGCCGAGTTTAGCTGCAGCTCTGAGCGGGGGGGCCCAGCCGAGCTCTCGGGGGGGCCCAGCCGGGACCTCTCCCCCTGCAGAGCAGCCCTTGTAGGGGCAGGATTTTATAATGTCCCATGAGAATTAATGTAGGATTTGATTTCATCCTGTCAGCCCCCCTTTTTGAATAGCCGAAAGGAATGAGACCAGAACAATCCTCATGACTGATGATGGTCTCCCTTTTGTTTTAGGAAAAGTTATAACGTCTACTATGGTTTCCGATATGTATTACAAATTAGGCACTCTAGTTAAATAGACATTTCTTTGTTTTAAGGTTTTAGTAAGTGTCATGGAGTGTGGGGGGACACAAGGCCTGGCACCCCCGGCTTCCTGCGATTCCCCACGACTCTCAGCCAGCCAGGAAAGCAGAAGGTTTATTTAGGCAACAGGGACACAGTCCAAGACAGGTCTTGCAGGTACAGACAACAGGACCCCCTCAGTTAGGTCCATCTTGGGGTCCCAGGGCACCAGAGCCCCCTTGGGAGGTCAGAGCCCCATCTGCCTCCCAGCCATTCCACCAGCCAGCTCTGAAACTCTCCCCCCACCCTTTGTTCAGTTTCCCGGGCAAAGGTGTCACCTGGCCTCTAATCCCTTCCTGGGTTCTCATGTTACATGCTCAGGTATCTTCCCTCGGCCAGTCTCACATCCCCCCATGCCGACTATCCTAGCCACACTCCCCTGCCTTCCCAGCCAACACTCCCCACTCTGCATTCAAAGGCCACATTAAGAACAGTCCCAGTTCGTCACAGTAAGTAAGAGACAGGATCTTGTATTGTATCTATGTTAAGAAGATTAGAGGAATGTTGAGGGCCTGAAGCCCCAACGTGAATTGTTTTAGTAATAAGATTTAGCAAGGCTTGATTTACAATGTATTCTGCTGAATATGCAAACTGCTGTCTGGATACCTTTGAAGGTTTCTGTCAGAGATTGTTTGTGTGAATGAGGAATGTCTGCATCAAGAAAAGATGAGGTGTGAAAGCCATCACAAATGTCCAGATGGGCAAGAAAAAGTGAGAGACTCGGAAAGACCAAGAGACAATCAGAAAACATCCATTGTACGCGATGCTAAACATGTTAGCAGCATTGAAGGCCTCAGAGGTGAGGCAGGGACCCCCGAAGGCGAGACAACAAATAGGAGATAACGATGGGAAGCCCGACAAGAACCATCAAATGATAACAGCAGAAAACCCCAAGATTAACACCACTTAAGGACTAATAGTTACAGGATAACATTGCAAAATGCAGGGACTCAAATGGGAATGTACAATTATCAAGCTGGGGTGTTTTGCCATGGAACTCTGGGTTCAGTCCTGCAAAGCCTGAGAGCATCGGGTCGTGACTGACAGCCCAGCTCAAAGAACAGGAGGACTGCCACTTCTTTGGGCTGTAGCCCACGAAAGCTTATGCTCAAATAAATGTGTGAGTCTCTAAGGAGCCACAAGTCCTCCTGTTCTTTTTGCGGATACAGACTAACACGCTGCTACTCTGAAAAGAGCCCAGCTCCACACTCGTGCTCAATCGAACTGGCCTTTAGATTGACTCGATCTACAACAGACTGGTAACTATAAACATCACTGCGGAGGGAACGGGGGCGTGGGGGGAGGGAGAGAGAGAGGGAAGCATATGCTAACTGTTGTATTTTCAATAAATGCTGCGTATTTGCCTTCCTCTATAAAGATCCCGTGTGCTTTGTATGAGCATAACACCTTGGCGAGCAACAAGGAGAGGGGACACTGGTACCAGTACAAATACAACAGTGTCAATGACAGGGCACTGCCCTGGGGAAGCTCGCAGCACCACCACCAGCCCGAGTCCCACCTGCCATGGCCAGGGCACTGCCATCAGAGTCACCTACTGGGTGAAGCAGGAGGGCAGGTGCCCGAGCGGTTCGGTCTAAGGAGGTGGTGAAGCCACATGGCCTGCCCTGGGGGAGGAGTGGGACCCCTGGGGGTCTGCCACGCTGCAGGGGTCTGCCAGAGACTGATCCCGTGAATCTGTGACACCTACATGGCCAGCCACAAACCTACCTGCGAGCCAGCGGCCTGCGTCACCCGCGTGCCGTTGGGCAGGTAATAGAGTAGTGCCCGGGCGCCCGGAGCCACCTCCCTGCCAGAGAGAGAGACAGACAGTGAGAGGGAGCCCAGGGACAGGCTTCCCCCCAGCCGCGGGCTCTGGGGTGCCAGGGGCTGCACTGCCCATTGGAGCACGGCCCCCAGTGCTACAATGGGAGCATCCCCGTAGGCCAGAGGGACACGGCCTTGCTCCCCAAGAACAGAGACGGAGGGTGTTCCCCCTCCACGGGGCCTAAGGAGGGGCAGGCGGGGCCGGGGGGAGCATGACCCAGCTGGAGCCAATCTGCTGCCAGGCCACTGCCCCTGCACAGCCCCCTGGGCTCCCCTAGAGCAATACATGGGCACCCCGGCCACTCCCTAGCTCCCAGCCCCCCATGCAGCTCCCCAGCTCCCTGACCCCCAGGGCTCCCTGGAACAACACACGGGTGCCCCGGCCACCCACTGCAGCCCCCCAGCTCCCACCCCCCAGAGTCCCCCCAGGACAACGCATGGGCACCCCCTGCAGCTCCCCAGCTCCCTGCCCCCCCAGGGCTTCCCAGCCCCCCCTGCAGCATCCCAGCTCCCTCCCCATAGGGCC